TTTATAATAGTTTTGCTAAACTTCCACTTCTGTTGTCTTCGAACTCACTTGATTCTTTTCTAGAATTTTTATTTTCATTTTTACACGGTTGATTTAGTAGATTTTGCAATTAAAAAACAAAGACTTCTCTTCTTCCATCTATTCAATAAAAGTAGCACGTTCGAAGCCCGTCATCATGCTCTTCACACGGGCATCTGTGCCAACATGCCAAACCCAGTGAATTTTAGCATTGATTTTCAGTATGTGTATTCCCACCGTACCTTGGTAATGCGTGTGAGAAAATTCACTCTTTTTAATTTTGACAAAAAATAAAAATAATAGACAGTCCTACCATGGACTAGGCCTGATCAGTCTTACAATGATATAGAGAGGAATGGAGAAAAACTCGTGATTCATTAATAACCTGAATTATATTTTCCAAATTTTTATTTATTATTTTTTGGCCCTTTTTATTTATTTATTTTAAAATATAAGTGATAATTTACTTCAATATAATCTAAATTTATAAAGGGGGTTAAACACATATGCATAGTGGCAAACACATCGACTCTAAAAAATTACGTTGTACGATTGGATGGAATAAGCCTTTACGGAATAAATATTCATCCATTTGTGAATCCTCACTTATTGTCTTATTCAATGTTTATTCAATTACCCTTTTATCCGCAAATGCAATGTAATCATTGGTTCGGAAATAATGATATTCTCCCCAACATACCAAAACTCACCGTCGGATCATGTACAAGTTAAAAAACCCAATGAATCCAAGCCACGTTGCGAGGGTTAAGCGACGTTGCGTGTGACACTGTTTAACTTTCTTTTGATGGGTTTTTTGGTTTTTTCGGTGGTTAAGGGTTTTCTCTTTTTTTTTTTTTTTTTCGGAAATGGGAACTAGCAAAGGCAAAATCAACGTCTTCTAATATAAACCTTCTTTCTCTTGTTTTTTGAGTTTGTTTGGATATCAACGTCTCCATCTCTCGCATACGGACTCGTCCTCTTCAGTCTTTGTTGAGTTCTTGGGTAAGGTTCCAAAACCAGAATATCTATCATTTCAACTATTTAGTTACGTTTATCAAATAACTAAGTTGTTTTTTCATCCTTTTGTTTTGCGTGTAGCAGCAACTCTATGGCATCATCAGTTCAGCCTACAGATTCTGAAATTGGGGAAGGTTTTGCCCCGGATTCACTATCTTGCAATCCTGGCTCAGATGTACTTTATCTCACCCCAATTCGGGGGAAGTCGAATAAGAAAGAGTATGAACTTCTCTCTCTTCTTCTTTATTTATTTATTATTCTTATTATTATTATTATTATTATTTTTTCCTGATTTAGGAATTCAGTCCGCTGGTCTTATCTGTATCTCTGCATCTGCTGATTCATCATGTTTTCTTTAATGTTCGTTGGGTTTGAGAAATTTAGGTGTTTGGGGTATTTTTAAGGAATTACAGCAATAATGGGGTGCTTTACTTACAAGTTACTGTCAATGATGGAGCCACACGTGATTGTCCCCACTGGCTCCTTTGCATCCATTATATTTGAAGGGTTTGAAACTTTGGCCCCTACTATTTTCCTTGTCACTGGTTTTTCCTTAAAAGATGGGGAGACCCTGTTTGATGAAATGCCTTAAAGGCATCTTGTCGAACTTGAGCTCCCGTAAATTACACCACCCACATTCAACATTGCATTTACATTTACAGTTAAATGCTGAAACAATATTCATGACTTATCTAAAGCCAAAGCTTAAAGGAAGGCAAGTAGCTAGATCCAACGCTCATACTGTTGCATGTTTGAGATACAGCTTTTTATCTTTTCGTACATTTCCTTCTGAAAGCATGAGTTATTGATGTTTTCAAAATTAACTACTTCATGGGTCTTTGGTATTCATATGCTTTCTGATGTGTTGCTGTTAATTGGTTGTTTAATGGTTTCTGTATCTTTCTTGTTGGACTTTGAGTGCGTTGCCCAGACCAATATTGTTGATTTGTAAGTGAAGGGGCTTAGGAAGTATAAGACAATAACAAATGAATGTTATCAATTTGGAGGAGAATAGTACATAGTTTTGTGTAGGCTAATTGGCCTCCTAGTGATGTAGTGATGTAGCACAGCCCCTAGGTATCCGATTAAACACTCGAAACTGTAGAACTGAGAAGAATATAGGACGTCAAGGAGAAGAAAAGATAGATCAAAGGGACAAAAGAAAGGATAGAAATCAGAGAGCCGAGAAGAATATTAAAGAAATGATAAAAAAAAAGGACAAAAATTAGAGAGTTTTAAGAGAGGGTTATTCAATATCCAAATCTGTATGTTAAAGAACTACATGGGGGTATTTATAACAAACTAAAACCTAGAGACAATAGGAAAAAAAAATCCCTTGCTAAAACAGAAATCCTGACTCAAATGAAATAGGAAACTTAGAAATCTGGAAAAGAAATCCTACTAGATTTTGGAAAACTAGAGAACCTAGGAAACTAACAAATAGGTCCTACATATCTTGCATAGCTTTTGGCTACTCCATAGATTTTTAAATTGTAGGCTATTGGCCCTTCACTCATGACTCTAGGCTATTGGCTACTTCATTTCTATTTGGGCTGTTGGCCTTCTAAGTTTGGTTGCTAGCTTTTAGCTTAGTTTTCTAGCTTTCTAGTTTGATCATTACATTGAGCTCTCAACGGTTATATATAGAGAGAGTTTTTCGACATTGCCTAAATCCACCAACTTTGGCCTTTCACTCCAGCCACATATTTTATTTCTCTAGACTTTTCTAGCTATTTAAGATAGTTGATAGGATATTTCTACTCTTTTACAATAATTATGCCTTGCAACCTTGAGCTTGCTGACTTTGCATAGTCAGTGAAGTCTTCTTCTTGAATTCTCTAGATTCTTCTTCAATTATTAAGCACAAATGTGGATTTTCAACACTTTTCTGTATCTCCCCCAATAGTAATTGCGTGAAACAAAAGCTCGTGAAAATTGTCTTATGCTACTCTTATCTTATGCGTTCTGATCAGTTCTACATTGTCTTCACTGTCACAGCCATGGACCCGCCGCCACTGCAGACTTCAGTGCATTAGTGAGTTTTCCCACTCAATCTTATTTTTCTTTTCTTTGTTTTTGTGAATTCCAAAATTTATATCCTGCATAATTTATGGACTCAGTTTATATTAACTATCTACATAATTGTTCTTGGTTTCCCCCAGAAAGACAGTTTTGAGTGGTTCCTCCGAGAAAAACATAGAGTTTTGCTTGGACTGATATTCTGAACAAGTTTTGCTTGGACTGATATAGTTTTGCTTGTTTTCTTGGTTTTTCAATGTTTTTCTATTATTACTTGTTTGTGCTTATTTGTGTTTGTTGTATACTTGTGAGACTGATTATTAACACTCTTTTCTATAACATCTGATAGCCGTTTTTAAAAATTCTTTTCTGGGTTGTGTAGACCGGTCAGCATCTAAAAGGCAGCATTCAGGAAGGATTAGCGAGTGATTGGATTTCAAGTGGTAAAGAATTCCGTGATGGTCGTGTTAAGCCACAAGATCCTGAGAGAGCCTGTGGAAGTATCTCAGAAAGTAACATTATTGCCACTGATATTCTTGGCACACAAGGTGAATAAAAACATTATTAGTGTTAATAGGACAATGGACATGAATAACCATGATTGTTAGCTAATAGACACCTGCGATAGTAGGCTTCATTCATAACGCTTTTGCCTGCTGGTCTTTTTCCTATGTTGCTTATGCTTGCCCATGTTGTGTCGAGTCTTGAGTGCATAAGTACTTGTGATATATTCAAGGTCGGGTGGTGGCGTCGAGGGGGATTTAGGGTCGGGTGGTGGCATCGTGGGGGATTCAGGGTCGGGTGGTGGCGGCTTGGATGTAATAGGGGAAGAGTGGTCAGCTGACGAACACCCGAGCACGATGATACAGCAGAAGCTGGAAAATCTGAGGGGGGAGTATAGTATACAGACCAGTATCATGCTTAGGGCGCTAACTTGGGATGAGAGGCCGAGTGCTCCCCTCGGCTGGGTGACTTTGTGTGCAGACATGCTAAAGGAGGGGGTGCGGCTGCCTCTGTCTCCCTTTTTGCAAGAATGGATGGGTCGGCTGGGTGTAGCCCCACATCAGATGAATCCCAACGTGTATAGGACAATGTTGAGTGTTCAGGCGTTATGGCGGAGGGTGCATAAGTCTGAGTCGACCATCAACCAGATGCTACACTGCTTCTTGCTAAAGCGGAGTCCACATTAGGTCGGCTTCTGCAATCTGCAAAGTGCAGTGGGGAAGGTGATCGAGAGTAATCTGTCCTCTCAGAAGACATGGAAGCCACACTGGTTTTATGCTTCGGGTGTGTAGGAGTTCCCTGAAGGGGTCGAGCCGAGGCAGCCGAGAGTACAGAGGCGGTTTAGATTGCCAGGTGGGGTCGACGTGTAGGCTTCATTCATAACGCTTTTGCCTGCTGGTCTTTTTCCTATGTTGCTTATGCTTGCCCATGTTGTGTCAAGTCTTGAGTGCATAAGTACCTGCGATATATTCTGACTTATGTGTTTGTTTTTTTGAAGTTGAGTCGGAGCGACCTGAGCTGTCCGCGGCAGAGCAGAAGCATATTGATCAGGTGCTTGCCATGCCGAGTACCGAGAAGGCTGCAGATAAACTTCTCGTAGGGGAAGGTCTAATCAACCCAGTTGGTGAGTTATCGTAAGCTTGTGTGAGTGCGCCCAGGATGATCACCTTTTGAATTTAACGCTTGCAATGTTTTGTACAGG